CAATGAAAAAAAAGAGCAAAACATCAATTTTTGACCAATTTGGAAAGTGCGTCCAAAAAATTGCCAAAAACGGAAAATTTGAATGATTACATGGGATTTTTCTTGGTAAAATGAAATTTTTGAAAAATTAATCCAATTTTTGTTTTTTTTTTGGAAAATAAATCGGCAAAAATTTAAAAAATTAAGATCAATTTTGGAAAAAATAAATTTTTATTTTATTGTAGTCACCAGAGTTCAATCATGAAAAAAAAAAACGAACTCATTAAATGAACATGTAAAGACAGATTTCCATGTAAAGACAGATTAACACACCTGCTGAATAAAGAGTGAACAATAATCCGTGGTCAAAAAAATGTTATGATGATTTATGATGATTTTTCTATCAATTATGCATTAGTTACTCAAAAATTTGTTTTCTACTCAAACAGGAACTTTGCAAGTGTGATAATTGTTAATTAACAAATCTGACTTTTTGCCTTATTCTTGAGCTATTTCTGAAAGGTCTCAGAATCGATTCCTGTTGAAGAAATGAAACAATTGTTATTCTCCAATTTGTTGTAGTAGTCGCCAACTATGAGGGGATTTTGATGCGCATTTAAAACCAAATTGTACCCGCCCCAGAAGATAGTAATTGGTTACGCAAACTACTGACAATGTAAAATATGACTAAGTGAGCAGAGTTTTTTACCACATAACGATTTTACGTTTCTGCGCTGACTAATTTTAGTTGCCATCAACTATATCAACAATGACCTTTTTTTTATATTTACCGTAAACCGGTACATATAGATATTATCATTCATAATTCATCCACCCACCCGTATCAGCTTTCAACAGTATGATCCACAGACTGATAAATGTGCCCTTGTCAGAGGTGAATTTTCATAAAGAACTGAACATAATAAAACAAATAGCCGTCAGCAATGATTACGATAGCAGTCCAATACATTCTTTATTATCAAAAAAGTTATACAGCCAAGCTTTGAAAAAAGTTTACGCCATTCAAAACGAATAGGATGAAAGTTATAGAACCTTAACCTACTCAGGCCAATCTACTACAAATATTTCAGATTTTCTGCACAACAAAGGTGTGAATATTGCTTTGAAAACCAACAAGTTAGGCATGCACATCAAGAGTAACAAAGATAAAAGTTCAGTTTCAGAAAAATCAGGAGTGTATAAATTATCGTGTGGGTCATGTCCAATGTTTTATATAGGTCGAACTGAAAGAAAGTTCAAAGACTGCATATACGAACACAAAAATAGTGTCCAGAATGGAAAAATTGATTCCACATATGCCAGTCATTTAATCACAGAGGGACATGAGTTCAACCACGAATTCAAGTCCCTCCATTGCCAGAAGAAAGGTTTGAAATTTGACCTGTTGGAGAGTATGGAAAAATGTTCCGCCATTTTGTAGTAGGTGAAGATATTGACTTAATATTCTAGGGTTGTGAAGTATTCTTCAGGAGCTTCAAAATGATGTGTCACAAGACATTTAATTTTTTTTCCAGATGGCACCCAGTCGCCATCTTAAATGTTTCATCTGTCATAATCACTTCAAAATAAAGTATTCATGCATCAATTTCATTACCCCAAATTTCAATTTTTGACTTGACCCGTTCAAAAAATAAAAGAGTGGGGACATTAAAGAAATGCACTGTATAAGTTGACTTGTGGTTCTTGCCGGAAACTACGAGATATTTGGGAAAGAAAGGTTTGAAACACAATCTTTTGGAGCACTTAGAAATTAATGGCTTTGAGAATTCTGATGATTTACTGAATGACCAAATGGAATTGAATTCTTCTCCTTTGAATCTGTTTTCTAATTTTGAAATTGGTATCTTGTTAGCATCATCAGTAGATGACTTCAGATTCGTGTTCTACTGTAATTTTACTTCAAATACAAGTTAATTTTTTACAAAGAACTCCGATGTGGGCAAACGAGATATTTACTCCCACAAATGAAAAATATATCAAATCAGTTGATTACCTTTGGACCCATGGTGACAGCAACAGCATCAGCAAGAATATCAACCCCCTGAAGCATAAGTGCTCGAACTTCAGACCCAAACCTAACATCCTTAGCATACCAGCGCTGCACATGACTGATTTGCTGAGCTTTGCGTAGACTTAATGACCGAACAGCAATAGGTAGTCGATACATCTAAAACAGAAAAATATTGATAAGAAATCAACTGATAGTTCAAAAACCAACTATGACAAAATTTCGTTTGACAGAAAATCAAAAAAAAAAACCAAGGAAGATTTGATACTTGGAGAGTTTTTGGTAGACAACTGCGTGACATAACCCTATATTCAAAATGTTAATATATGATGAACGATCCTAGAATATATGAAATTATCGAAAATAAAGTGACTACTGCTAACAAATCATCATTTAATTTCAAAAGACCATAGTCTTGGTTGGGAAAAAATCGAATCTTTTGGAGCACATGTCAGCAAGCCCTCCATTTCTCGAAATAATTGATATGTTGTAGCGGAATTGAATGAATGTCAGTTTCTGATGTTGTTACACTTACCTTCAATTAAAATATTACCGGAAAGTGTTTTAAATTTATTGAATATAAAGAATTTTCACAAAAATGAATGAACCGGTGAACCTCACGACTCTCAGCTCTGATAATCGGATCTAGAATTTTCGAGAAGTGTAGATATAGATAAGTGATAATCAGTGTTACCACACGCTAATTGTCAAAAAATCGGAGGTTTGAGCTTAAAAAACAGCTTTTCACCTCATCATGGCTAGTGAAATTCAAAAAATGTATTCTAAAGTCAACTAGAATTATAATTTAGTGTTTCTAAAATCACTGTTATTGTGATTCTTCTGTTAGATATGGTTCACAGTTTCCTGAAAACTGGTGAACTAGACGTCAAAATATTATTCGATGATTTTGCTGTGGTGAATGGGATCACTGGTAAAAATGACGAGTTTGGATCATTTCAGTGGTTGATTATCAAAAGATACGTGGCTCACTTTTATGTTGTTTTGAAAAAAATAATAAAAATATTTCTGAAGTAAATAGGTAGTATATGTAATTGGAGAGTAAAAAATTATGTTATATTTTACATACCAACATAAGAACAATAATCAAATGATTTTCATAGCATTTCATGCATAAGTAACGCTTATCAACTAGTGTCTCATTTGGTTAATGAAAATAATGAACTACTTAGATTGAAACAGGTTTATCTGGACAATCGCCATGAAATACATATAAAAAATAAACCTACGAAAGCGTACAAGGCCCACAAAAATCTATAATATTTGTTTCCCTAAATCACACTTGTAACCGTGAATTCACAGTTATAGCTTTGAATTTCCAGTTGTAAGTGTGAGTTTACAGTTACAACTATGAATTGGTAAATTTTCACCTATTCCTTTGACTTCACACTCAAAATTAAGTGTGAATTTTCCGTTAAAACTGAATTGTCAAAATCAGTCATAACTGTACATTAGTAGAAGCGTCTGTAGACAGTAATCACTTCATGTATACTTTTTGCACTCGATGTCAGTTGATGAAAACAAAATTTAACCTGTAACCATACCTAACCAAAGCTATATTCAACTACTGAATTGTTTTCCAAGTTCTAGTTGAACTAAAATATATTCCAATCCGAGATTCTAAAACAAAAAAGGTGCCAACACTCATTTCCAACAATAGTCAGATTATTAGTAGATTTAATCAGTTTAATTTTTTTGGTATATAGTCACTGAATTATTTTTTAAACACAATCAAAGATTTATTGAAAAACTTAACTATAAAAAATAAAATAATTTCTCCTAGTTTCGTATACAGTTTTAAATCGATACAGATTATTAATAAGTGATTGCAATACTCGTTGAGAGAACTGACAATAGTTCATATAGATTTGCAGTGCAATATATAGTTATAGATCACTCCTAAATCTCTTACACTCATCCCAATTTTCTAAGAAGTATTTTATCGATGAATGGAATTAAGAACAGGAATTAAGTTACAAGGGTATCCTTCCTAGATTTGGCAAGTTACATTTGTTCAATCCAGGAAAAGACTTGAACATTTTCTCCCTCTCTTTCGCTCTCACCGTCTTCTAATGAAGGCGTATCAAGTGGAAGGGGCTATATCGAAATTCAGAAAGCTATTCCTATATTTGACAAGCTACATATAAGAATTTTGTTTCGATACAGACAGAGTGACCACCTGCAGGCAAATCTGGCATCTATTTGTGCAATGTTTTCAAGGAGAACATTTTTTCGGTGGTACTCGTAAAAAAGCAATGAGTATTATTTATTATTTATTCAGTTGAGAATAACCATCTGCGTACATGTATATTTCAATGTTGTTACATCTCAAAAGGACCGGCTGGGTTGAAAAACTCTCCGACACGTTTTTCGAATTTGATTCGATTTTATACGTTTTATAATTCATACAGTAGGCAAAAATATTGTATTTCATCCAGTTCTGTGTATTTCATCCAGTTCTATGTTTGAAATTGCAAGTCTCTTTAACTCTTCGATAACTTATTTTCAAATCTATTGTAACATTTGAACCAAACAAACAAGCGGGTAAAAATATGGAAAAATTTCAATCGGATATTCAAAGCGTTTCATAATATTCCACATCACNGAAGTAGTATCAGTAATTATTATTAGATGTCTATTATATGAATGAATTTTGTGGGTGAAATGAAAATTTCACGTTTCAGGGCTGAAAGCTTTCTTCTCAAAAACCTAATCTCTTTAAAAAATATACCCCTTTCAAGTACTTTTCAAATACTTCTTCTTCTTTACTTTTTCCTTCCTCACTGAATATGAATATTCATGTTAGTTTACCAGATATCAAGGATGCGATTAAAGAGTACAATGTGGCCTTCTGCGCTTCCGTACTTTTTGTCAAGGTTATATGTAGTACGATAACTCTATTACGAAAATATCATTTGGCAACACTTACTTTCTTTCCCCTTTTGAAAATATAATATAACCTCGAAATATGAATATTGACGTTTGAGGAAAATATTATTTTGTACAATGAATTTTCAGTAACTTCTATTCGAGAGAAAAAATGTGGCCTATTTTACTTGATATGACAAGAGAAGAATCCATACATAATTTGAGAAATTTGGGTAGGAATTGATAGAAAATGTTTGTTCAATTTTAATTTAAGTGATATTTTCAGAATTGGAGGCTTACTCTTACTTGGTATCAGCTTTGAGAGCGCAAGGCCCTCTGAGCTTAGATAAAAAAAATCTTTTGCGAGATACAGGTAACATTTTGAATATAACTCAAGAGAGACATAAAGCAGAAATAAGAAGAGCAATAAACGACGAGAAATTGAATACAATTGCATATCAGTAAGTGTCAATTATCAGGCTAGTCCTAGTTTTAAGCCCAGCTGATTTCTAAATATATTTTCTAGTATTACTGGTCGTAGTGAATCCTTGGATGAATGGGCACAGGAGGGTCGAAGATTGGTCCCACTTTTACCGAGAATTGCCCCACAAACTGTATTTGGTGCTGTAGCAGATGAAGCTGCTGAATCTGCAAATCAGTCAAATAAGCAATTACCATCACCATCTAACACAGAAAGAAAAAGGCATGCTGTTTCACAGATACAGCCCAACATGATTTTGGAAACTACTAAAAATAGTTCCTTCAGAATTCCAGATCCACCAAAAGCTGATGAATGTAAAAAGCGGAAATTGATGTCCAACAATGAAAACAGTAGCCTAGCCCAACACCTTTTGGCTCCAAAATTATGTAGGATTCAACAGCTATATAGGTAAGATTGAAGAATTTTTCATAATTCCAAGTCTATTTAGTTCATAACAAAGCACAGCTTCCGAACTTATCATAAAATTTAAGATTTCCACTGTTGTTCTTGTACCAAAATTTAACTCAAAGCTGAACATTTTGGACCATTAAATATACTACCAACTCTTGAAAGAGTTAGAAATGTCTGTATATAACCAATTAATTCAGTACTTTAATACCAATAAATTGTTTATAGACACTCATGTGAAACGTCTCTACAATTTTTAATAACTGAATGGAAAAATACAATTGATAGAAATCAGTACATTGTTGCAACATTTCTCGACCTTAAAAGGGCATTTGAAACAATTGATCAAAATATTCTACTTGAAAAATTAAAATATTATGGGATATCAGGGATTGTTTTCGATTGGATTCAAAGTTACTTATTCAACAGAAGACAAAAAACTAAATTTGGAAAAGAATTGTCAGATGAACTTATAATTGAGAGTGGCATACCCCAGGGTAGTGTGTTAGGTCCATTGCTTTTTATTATTTACCTAAATGATATTAATCACATATCTGGATCACACTGTATAAATCTTTTTGCAGATGATACATTGGTTTATTGTATACATGAAAANATGCAGAAAACATATCCAGGCAGTTTCGATGAAACACAATATGAATTGAGCAAGAAAAAATATAACAAAATGCTGATGGACTTTATTCAAAAGTCGCTGTCTAGTAATGAAAACAAGAATATGAAAAATCGTAAACACAGAAAGGGAAAAAGGTAGATCTAAAGATGCATCTCGATATGAAATTGATGTTGATGTGAATTTTTTCAATGAATTTTTCACTAATTGAATAGAACGGACCAATACTTGATGAAAATCCATATTAAAAAAACTAATCAATACAGTTTATTGTATGATATTGTATATTGTATGATGCTTGAGGAAGCTAGCTTTAAGCGAAACACGTGTTGCGGTTTTTGTAAAACCCTTTTATAGTGAAAATCATACAATAAACTGTATTAATTGGAATTTTTCACTGACAGAGCTGAGAATGATGTTAATGATATTGAGTTCTCTGAAAATACCACCTTCATGCTTTATTTATGAAAAATCACATACATTCCTTTATATACGG